AGTATTTTTATATTTTATGATTTGTTAAATACCCTTAAAAGTGTCTTTTAAGGAAACAAATAAATAATTAACCTTCTCTTATTATTTTTATATTTAATTTTAAAACTGGTTTGCATTTAAATTTGGCATACAAACTTTATAAAGTAGTTCCATAATTTGTTTAACACGATACACCTTGGATTGTATATTCATTTCTATATGTGTGTAGTATTTATCATCAGGAGTCATGCCTTCCATTTTTCAAAAAAAAAAAAAAAAATTGATGTTAGTGTCTATGTGCTTTCATTACCATACATATGAATATATATATTTTTATACTTATTACAAGGTACAATAAAACTTTAAGGCTGTTTCAATACACTTCTTTTTGAGCCATCGATCCATATTATGGATCATAGTCCATAGAACCCGACCATGAACAATATGATTACCACTCATGATGGCTCGGCCTTAACTCTAATGACTTGCATCCATAAGTATCAATGATATTATGTTCGTTCACTTTTGGTAACATTATGTTCGCACCCTTTCGGTGATGTTATATTCACACCTTTTTGATGACGTTACATTCTCACCATTTTGGTGATGTTACATTCGCATTCTTTCGGTGACGTTCCATTTGCACCCTTTTGGTGACGTTACATTCANCACCCTTTCGGTGCCGAACCGTTCGCACCCTTTCGGTGCCGAACCGTTCGCACCCTTTCGGTGCCGAACCGTTCGCACCCTTTCGGTGCCGAACCGTTCGCACCCTTTCGGTGCCGAACCGTTCGCACCCTTTCGGTGCCGAACCGTTCTCACCCTTTCGGTGCCGAACCGTTCTCACCCTTTCGGTGCCGAACCGTTCTCACCCTTTCGGTTCCGAACCGTTCGCACCCTTTCGGTGCCGAACCGTTCGCACCCTTTCGGTGCCGAACCGTTCGCACCCTTTCGGTGCCGAACCGTTCGCACCCTTTCGGTCCCGAACCGTTCGCACCCTTTCGGTCCCGAACCGTTCGCACCTTCGAGTCCTGAACCGTTCGCACCTTCTGGTCCCGAACCGTTCGCACAATTTCGATCCCGAACCATTCGCACCATTTCGGTCCCGAACCGTTCGCAACCTTTCGGTCCCAAACCGTTCGCACCCTTTCGGTCCCAAACCGTTCGCACCCTTTCGATCCTGATACGTTCGCACCCTTTCGGTCCCGACACGTTCGCACCCTTTCAGTCCCGACACGTTTGCACCCTTTCGGTACCGACACGTTCGCACTCTTTCGGTCCCGATACATTCGCACCCTTTCGGTCCTGCCATGTTCGCACCATTTCGGTTCCGATACATTCGCACCCTTTCGGTCCTGCCATGTTCGCACCATTTCGGTTCCGATACGTTTGCACCTCTTCGGTCACGACACGTTCGTACCTTTTGGTTCATGACACATTTGTACCTCTTGGGTCACGACACATTCATACCTCTTAGGTCACGACACATACAAATATTATCTTCTAAAAAGTCAATATTAATATTTAAACTTATGAAAATGTATGACAAATATGATTGTGGCTATTAAAATGAAATATATGCCTTTTTAATGAAGAGTTGTCAAGTATTTGATGACATCATCAATCATATGAAAAAGTTTTTTTTGGTTCATTAGATCTTAAAATCAAGTTAACTATGACCATTGGATTGAATTTTTTTTTCCTATAAAAAAATGCTGATGTCACTTTCAGTTTGCTATTATATATAGATGTCTGAGATGCGGAGATGGTTCCTTCTATTTTCTATCAACAGAACTATTATACAGTTTTGGGCTCTATCAACTTACTTTCTCTTGTTTGAACACTATTCATATTTTGGAAATAATATTGAGCTTATTATAAAAGATTCACACACGTATACTCCTGATTTTAACCAGGAGATCGATATCATGATCTAATTTATATGGTTATCAAATCAACTTATACTTGCACTACTTTAACATAGGCCATATAAATTAGTAAATCAATAAAAGAAACAACGTCAAACAGAATAATAAAATGAAATCGTATTTGTACTAATAGTAAAATAACTGTGTTCAGTTCATGAATGTGACGTTAAATCAACTCACACATGCCGAAAAAGACGGCAAAAACCTGGAAAAGTCTACCAACAAAGATACAAAAAGCATATCAGATGCATTTAACCTTCTTATTAGACAAATAAACCAAACTATTTAAACTTTTCAGGAAACAACAATTAAATTATATATAACTGTTATATAAGTATTAAAAACTAACACGCAGGATGAAATGATTTTATAGGGCCAAAAATAATTATGGCTTAAGAGTCAAATCATATACATATTTGTAAATATTGTTTTAGATGATTTAGAACATTTCCAATACAAAACTTTATTTTTTTCTTCCAAAATAGAATAAAAGTGATTATATAGTAAAAATGCTCTATTTCTAATTTCATAATAAAAATAAATTACTCAATTTATGGAGCAAATTTTATTATGGAGTAAATTTTATTATGAAGTAAGATCGGAGCATTTTTACTCTATAATCATTTTTATTCTATTTTGAAGTAAAAAATGGAATTGGATTAGAGATACCTTTAGGAGTTATATGTTTATACATGCCACTTAAAATTTGGAGTTAAAACAAATGTTTTCTATGTAGGGTCGACCGTAAATTTAAGAAACTATTGACATTTAAAATAACTTTTAAATTTATGTATACAATGCAAATACTCTTTCTAATTCAGAGATCAGAAAACATATTTATATTATTTAAAAAAAATATATAAGTCAACACCATGCTGTCAAATAGTTTCTTTGAAGTAGTAGTATCAAGTATGTCCCAAACTACACTTCCATTGAAGACAAAAGTCTTATTGACCAAAACAACACATAAAGACTACCTGCTGTTTTACCACATCAAACATATATCGTACAACAACAAAAACGACAATTCGTTTTTCCTTCCTCCCCAAAAGGGCAATAAAACACATGTACACACTAATTAAAACTTAGCCAAGTCTGATCAAAAGTTGTATCTAATTAGCCTAGAGTAATCTTCCACCAATCCCACATTAAATCATAATCAGATCTTTAATCTTTAATAATATAATAATCAAACCGATTCTTTAACATTTCCTTCTTCATCAAGCTACTCCCATTATACTATCTCCACTACTCGACATGGTCTCAAAGACCGAGGCACGTGAGCCACGTGCCTTCTGTTCATTTGAAGATGACCGTGGATTCATAAACATCTCCGGCGCCGCCTTGTTTAGATTCAAATCAGCCATTTTCCTCGACGGTGGGATCGGACAGACTAGCTTCGACGGAGGAGACGCGTCAACGGCTATGTCGGGAGTGATGTCGAAGAGGCTGGATCTACGACGGCGGCGATTCTGGTTTGTACGGCGGAGGAAGTACTTCTGAGCATGGCTCGCCACTTGTGTCGGTGTTCTTGTCTTAACGAAGTTTCTTGAGATTCCTCTCCAGTCTCCTTTCCCTACTGTATGCAGCCCCGTGAGGAACAGTCTATGCTCCTCCTCCGTCCACGGAGTCCCTAAAAAAAATCAAGAATCAAGAAACTTACTTATCAAAAAAAAAAATCAAGAATCAAGAAACTTAGACCATGATTAACAGGGATTTCTTAAAACGGGGTTCTTAGTGGAAGTTAAGAAACTGTTTCTTAACTTTTAATTAAAAACGTCGGTTTTCTTAGCGTTTTTAGTTAAAAGTTAAGAAACAGTTTCCATCTTAAGAATCCGGGTTAATCATACTCTTATTTATCAAAAAAAAAAAAATTAAAGAAACTGAACTTAACATGAGATCTTTATTAAAGAAACGGAATAGAAGGTTAAGTTTAAAAACGGAAACCTCGTTTGCGTTCACGGTTTCTAACGGAGGCGTGAACGACGTCGTCTGAGGCGTAGCCACCTTCATCGACAGGGTCAGAGTCATGAGACTTGTGATCGTATTGAGATAGGTTGGTCATACTAGCGCTTTTTCTGAAAGGAGACGGTGAAGCCTCCGTGACGCGGACGCCGAATAGCATGATGGCTTTCTCTCCGGCAGCGGCGGCGGCGGCGGGGGAGGATATTTCTGTTGGACATGTGCGGGAGTTGTGGCCGTTGTTTCCACACTGAGAGCAGCTGCGTGACATCTTTGTCGAGACAGAGATAGATCGGGAAAGAGAGAAGAGAGAGAGGAACACAAAGGGAAAGAAGAGACAGAAGCTGTTCAGATGATTCCTACTTTTATGTCTGTATTAAGCTCACCATTAAAACCTTGACCGTTCTGTGTTTTTAATCTCGAAATGATTCTGTCTGTCCAATAATAATAAATCTTAGTATAATTTTATTTATTTTTTATGTAAATTATAAAAGATAATTCTATTTTCATTGGCTCGAAGGAAAAGACCTCCCTTTCATTGACTTAACATACACTATTTTATACCAGTCATATTAACTTAGATATATTCATCTAACAGTTACTAATCAACCGCAAAAGATTACTAACCAAGCAAACGGTTGGATGATTTGATTGGACTAAGCGATTAGAAGAGGTGGTTGGAGAAGATAAAACGAGGAAAAAATGCTTATCAACAACATAGACTAAGCTCTCGGTTAAATGGACCAAAACATAGTTGTTTTGTAATAAATATATCTATGTCACCAGTGGCATGGCATTAACCAAGATTTTTTTTTGGGTCAAATAACCAAGATTGTTAAGAGTTCGGATAAACCTAGAAAAACGTAGACTCAAACCCGTGAATCAGCGGTTAAATTGCCCAACCGGGTCAACTATAAACTCAAAGCAAAATTTTAGAAGCTTTTAAGTTTAACCCCCCCCCCCCCCCCCCCCCCCACAAATATATTAATTTTGTGTATTTTTTAATTTCTTTATATTTCTATATATGATGTATAACTTTTTTTCTGAACTCTATGATGTAGAACTTTAAAAAATCAATGCGGCTTGTTTTCCTTTTTAATGTTTGACAAAAAGTGATGTCTCTTATTTGGTAAAAATAATAATATTGTTTAGATGTACTATTTTCAGTTTATGAATTTGATCTGAGCAAAAGAACCATATATCTACTTTTGTTGAAAGAGTCAACTAAGTTAAATTTAACTTAACTTCCTTTTATTAGAAGCATCTTATTCATACAATTACAAAGATAACAATATTCTATTTAGAAAAAGTAACATATAATATTAACCCAAAGTTAATTATGATAGACTATAATAAATCTGGAAATCCAGTCATCCAAATTATATATTTGTTTGTTGTATAGTCCAGTAACCAATTCAGATTTTAAAACATTGTCATTTTCTAAAACAAAAGAATAAATATATTTTGAACCCAAACACTGCCAAAATCTGGTTTGAACATTATATCCAATACTGATCATTGGTAGATTATTCTATTGGCCATAAACTGAAAGTTCTAAAAATCTTACACTCATCAAAAAAATTGTATAATCAAAAATTTGTAACTCTAACCGGATATATATAGTATCTCCAACTCAATTCTATTTTTATCATAAAATTGAAGAAAAGGAACATAAAGTAAAAATCACTTTAATCATATTATATTTTTCACTCCATAATAGAGTTTATTTCATAAATGAAATAATTTATTTTTTATTTGTTTATTACTATATTATGGAATGATAATGAAATACGATTGGAATATTTTTATTTAATATTTCATCTTCCTCTTTTTAAGAGGAAAAAAATTGAATTTTACATTAGAAATGTTCGAAAACACCTTACTAGCTTTTCCAATCGGTACTTTTACAGATTTTTTTTTGTAACTTGACTAGTCTTCCCAATCGGTACTTCCAAGCTTTTACAGTCTTTTTTTTTTTGGTAATTGAGGCTCTTTTACACATTTTTATTTTTGTAATTGAGGCTCTTCCAAATTAGCCATCTAATATTCTCATTTTTTATGTCCTAAATTCATTTTAATTTTTATGTCTTTATTATTCATGTAAATAATTTTTAATATCGTATATGTGATTAAAATTATCATTTAAATTATGATGTCCTAAGAGTTTGGTTACTTCTCGCTCGGGATTGGCCTGTTCTACAGTACTTATTTGGGACTTATTTTGACCATTTATTTCAAGCGTGGCCAGTTATCGACCGTTTGAAGAAAACATAGCTGTTCATGTAGATCATCGACGTATGTATGTTGTATCCACATGCATTTGTTGTCGCTACGCATATAAATTTTTTCGGCCAATAGTAAGGCTCGTGGACTTTTGTGAGTAGTTATGAAATATTAGTGCAAGTTACGAGAAACCCTAGTGGATGAAGGTTTTATTTGTCGGCAAGTGTATGAAGTTTCGGAAAAGATTAATATTAATTTCTCGATAAACCAACATTTTTTTGCATCAAATTAAACAATAAGCAAAGAAAGGGAAAAGCTGGACCGTTCGATGTATCTGTATCTTTGCTGTTTGTTTTCATTTTTAATCCAATTATTGACCGTCCAGGGATAGCACTGAGTCGATGATAGATTGGAGAATCTTCGGTTCGAATTAAAAATATAAATCGATGACCATTGAACTTTCATTTGATGTTTCTATTTACTTAAATTATCTTTGATAAAGTGACAAATATCGCTAAAAACGAGTAATATCTAAATGCAATTGACAAAAAAGATATTCAAAATGCAATGCTTTCTAGGAACTACTGATTGTATAAGCAACTGCGTGTCAAGTTCAATGTTAGATTTACTAAGAAGAGATAGACACGTTTTCCTCACTTGATTAGTCCCGATTTAATCATTGTTAATCTGAATCGTGAAAAGGATTCGATGCATTCGCTTTTTTCGTGTTAAAAAGCGATCAGTGAAAATTTGCAATGCAACATAGGTGATATGATATATTTAAAATATATTCCAAGTTTCCAACTATGATATATGTACAATTTATTCCAAATAAAGTATGTTTTAATATAAATTAATTTAAGATTTAAGTGCATTTTATTGATAGTATATATGGTTAGGTCATTTAAAATAAGTATTATAGAATTACGTGCAAAATAAACTTTAGTCTCCATATAACATGCAATGAGTTATGTTGACTACGATGGTTGGTGGAATTTAAATTCAGATATCCAATAAGTTAATACTCTAGTAACTCTACAGTCCTAATTGGCCAGTTTTTTTTTGTCAACCCTATTTAGCCAGTTAAATTACCAGTAAGTTTTTTTTTTTTGTTGCTAAATTTTGGAACTATCAGTAAAGTTTGGATGGTTCGAAATATACTCAGAAAAAAAACTTGAGTTGATTTCTCGTTTACATTTCATTAACTGATCTTTGGTTCTATATTCTTATGCTTCATTGATAGTGAGCTCTTTTTTTTTTTTGAACAACAAGTGAGCTCTTTACTCACTTAACCTTTATATAATGTAATTTACTGCTTGCATCTCGTAGATACACACCTCCGAGTGTTAGTGTGATTCCATTTCGCTTGTCAAAAAATAGGTAATGCACTTCTATCAATACTGATAAATAAAGAAGGAAAATGAGCGTCGTATGTGTAGTGTACGTGTAAGGTGATCTTCTACTCTTTGACAACAAAAATGATTATCTTCTTCCAAAGGTATTCTGTGATTGGTTGATAGTGATATATCATGTGAAAGCCTCCTACGACCTTTAAATATTATTTTGTGGTTATAAAGCAGGAGAGGATCTTATTTTATCATATCAGAAACACAAGAGGATGAGAAGTTTTGGTCCGTTGGCTATTTCGAGGATGCATTACATAAAAATATATCTTCGTAAAGAGTGGAAAAATATCTCTTTTTAATTAGAAACAACAGGGGAAAGTGCCTATAGTTCTCTGGCAATCAATATAGTAGGTATGTTATTGACTTCTTTTCTTTTTGGCAACTGTAGGTAAACTAGGTATGTTACTGTCAAAATGTATTTTGCCACCATAAAAAATCGCACAATTAGCAAAAGGCAATTTGACAGTAACATAGTTTTCACGGTTTATAACTTGAGGGTGTCAACAAAGGCAACGCCGTAGAAAAAGTTCGTATAATTGGCATATGTTATGTTTTGAGCTTTTATAATTGGCATTTAAATTGGCATACACTATGTTAGTTAAAACAAGTATTTTATTATATCCAGATGTAGATATAACGGAACTGTTGGTATTATTAGATGAATACATTATAATCTTTTTAAATTAATATTCTATAAATTAATATACACTAAAAATCTCTATAAAATAATATAGTTTTATAGTCTCAAATTGAATTTTTGATTTAATTAGTATATCAATAAATTAATAATCTCTATAAATTAATAAAAAAATATATTTTTGTCGTAGTCTCAACATTATTAATTTATATAAGTTTTATTGTAAATAGTAAAATGGATATAAATGTATTTTTGACCTTGTAAGATTTATTTTTTGATACTAAAGTGAAATTGATTAATAAATCTAAGGTAATAGAAATAAGTCGATTTCGGTTGCCAGCCAATTAGGAATAAACAAACTCATATGAGAGAAAACTACAACTATGAGTCTACATATATGTTTAGATTATAGGAGATATATAAAATAATGAAAAGTATAAAACGTGACCATAGTCTATAAAATATTTATAATAGCAATTAGCCACGATAATTTAAATTATTACATATTTTTATAATTGATGTGAGAATAAAGTTAATAAGATATAAAAAAACAGTTTCTTGATAATTTATTAAAATAAATGATACATAGGCACATTATCACTTTTTAGCTAGGTTTACTAAATTCTTACAAATTCTGATTTTCCGGCAATTTTTAGGTTTATTTAACCTAGGAAAATTCATACATAAAACTTATACTTGGGTAGTTCCATGAATGCTTTTAATAACTGGAAAGTGGAAACATAATTTAGAGTAGAAATTAACATTCTAATTTGTATTAATATTAGGAGAAAATGCAGTAGAGGTTCAACGTCTTCTGAAACTAGACACGAAATTTAAATATTGTATCATTTCATCAGTATTGTGTGTTCCTGTTACTGTTGAATAAAAGCAAGAAAATTATTTCTCAAAACATGGCCTAAGAATTTGGTTCTCGGAGCCCCAATAATTTCCTTATTTGTGTGCCTACTTTGAGAAAAGACATTGTTTTCTTGGCGTTGCCTCTAACAATCACTACAAGAAAAAGATTCTTATACCGATAATCAATTTTATCGGAACATTGTCGGAAGACCTCATATCCGAGGGTTTTCCGAGAAATG